TGAAAAAAGAAGAAGTTTGACCTACTTTACAATTATTCTTGTGCTTCTGTAAACTCAAATTATCCAAAATCTTAGTTTCCCAAATCTAGCATATACTCTCTACTATTTCCCTTGTTTAGCATGAACCTCCCTTTTCCTGCCACTCACGTAACCCATCGATTATCGGAAATCACCGAGTGTCCTCCATGCAGTTTGTAATTGAAGCAACATTTATTTAAATACATAATGAAGCTCTGAGCTTCATCATAACTCTGTGCTCAAAGGGGCTCTTCATGCAAAATGCATTTTTTGCTGATTATATTCCTCTGTTGGCAAGAACTTTGCTTCTTCCCCTCACTGAACTTCATACAGTATTTATAGCATCCCCAGAAGGCAAAGGAATAATCACAACATTCACTCTTACCTGTCTGCTGCTATTTGTTTGATGGAAGGAGACAGCCTGAGGATGTCAAGAGGGTGCTTACCACGGGCTGGTCTCTCCTTCCCACCTTTGTGATCACTGGGTGCTGGTGTGGGGGTCTTTCTTGGACTTGGGGTCCCTACCTCATCTTTAAGTAGGTGATACAAGGTTAGTGGTTGGAACAGCTTTTTCTAGGAGCTGGAACTTAAATCCTGGAGAGGCCATCCCAGGACACATTACATCAAGTTGGTGGTATGCTGTGATCTGCTGAACTGCTAGGTCTGTGAACAGTCATAAAATATTTCAAGACTTTTCCCCACTTAACTAGCTACTGAGAGCAGTCCGCATAGTGTTCCCTCCCTCTTGTCAACACAAAGCTGCTTGTGTGTGTCACTGCAGAAGGACAGACTTTGCAGAAAAGCTCATTTGCTACATTGTGCTTCCTAGGAATTGATTTGCTTAATGATAGAGAATGGCAGGGACCGCTGTTTTATTTAGACAGGACAGCGGAAGCAAAAATTCTCTCTAATGGAACTGCCTTCAGCCACTGACAGGTTTTAAGAGAGTTTGCAGGGCTGGGGCAAACTTAATGGTTAAAAGAGCTGGTGGCTACATTTTTCATGAAGCTGTCATCAGACATTTTTATACAGTGTATGTTTCTCTACCTTTTAGGACCTGGTACTTCCCCTCTTCTTTTTATTATGTTTCATTTTCAAACTATTCTTTTTTTCCTTTAATCATAGTACAATACACTTACCATAAAATTATCAGCTGTGTTGAAGGGCACCGATCAGTGGCATAAGGTGCGTTCACACTGAAGCACAGCCATTGCCACCGTCCAGTTCGTTTGCATCTTGCGAGGCTGGATCTCTGTAACACAACTCTCCATTCCTCCTACCCCTGCGCCCGGTAACCACCAACGTCCTTTCTTTTCAGTAGATAAGTTTGAGGATATCTTCTTGCCAGAGTTAAATACACAGCTTTCCAAGGATGTTTAACTTTGACTGGTATGACCTCTTTTCATTTCCACTTCTCGACAAGTATGACCCCTCTGATGTCAGAATAGACCGTGTTGCTCTTAGCTGAGTTTGACTGAGATCCTCTTTAGAGGGAGACAGAAGGAGAACCCCTTTCATTAAGTAAAGAGAGCAAATGTCTGTTGTTCTGTCAAACCCATCAGAGTGTGGCCCTTCTGGGTGTTCAAAAGTGCATAATATAGACTCCTTTATTTTCAAAGCATCACCTGTTTGGAGATGGGAGTCTTACTTGGGTAGTATTTCGGTTAGGATGGGTTAGATTATGCTGTACTTAGGAGCAACCCTCAAAGCTCAGTGGTTTAAGGTACCTTCTCATTCTTGCCCTGTATCTGATGGAGGCTGGCTGTGAGGTCCTTACTCATCTGGACTCCTTGGGAGCCAGCCAGCCAGATCTTCCCAGACATACACTTTTAGGACTACAGGACAAGGGTGGGGTGAGCCAGACTTTTGTTGAGTAGTAACACATGTTGCTTCCATTTGCATTTCATGGGTCCAAGTCAAGTGACATGGCTATGCCTAGCTTTAAAGGGGGCAAAAAAGACCCCTCCTTTCACATTGCCAGAATGGGAAAAGCTCAAAATACCTAGTAGGCTACATGATGACCCTGTCCCTAGACATTTAGAGCAACCTCAGGACTCAGAGGTCAGGATTGGTGTGCATTATTAGAAAAGAACCAAAAAACAAAAAAATATTTTCAAACTACAGAGTTGGTCAAGTGTGATATTTATCATAAATGACTATATCTGCCCTAATTTTTCCAGGCTTTTAGTTCTTCATCTATAAATTGGTCACCTGGGCCTCTTCCAGATGAGTATTTCTATTTCAAATTTTAAGTTCCTACCATGTATTTGGCAGAACTTGTTATCAAGAGCTTAAGTTCTTTCCATTCATTATTCAGGTGTGATGTCTGGCTGCAGGTGTTTCCTTACTCCGTACGTTGAGGGATGGGGGATCTAAATGAGGGGAAGATGGGAGAGGGTTACCTGGGAAGGTGGACGTCAACTGCCATCTTCCCTTGAGTATTGAAGCAGGAGATGTGGTGTTTAGGCAGGAGACATGGCCTGTCCTGGTGGCACAGGTGCCTGTGTAGCTGTGGTATCTGGGTGCCCTTTTACCATGGGCAAAACACCAGCTCCCTCAATGTCTAAAAGCTCCTCATTTACACTGAGCTCTGCATACAAAGCAGAAAGCATGTTTTGGGTCAAGACAGCAGCTACTTATCAAATGGTGCCAGGCACTTTAGAGGACAAAGAAATGACGCTAAAGGGCCAAGATTTTGAAACTTCCTTTATAGTCTTGTAGGATCAATTTTTTAAGGAAAGAAGAATATAAAAGATAATATTTTTTAGGCTAGGTATAGAAAAATTGTACTTGAAATTAGGGTAATGTATTATGAAAGAATTTTGCAGAAAACCTCTATGAAAATATATGAGTATACACACATAAAGGTACACCTGTTGGAGGCAATGGCGACTTCAGCACACCCATGTCCTGCACTCATGGAAACGTGTATCTGCTTTTGCCTATGTCTGTACTGTATACAGATAGAATCCTATAGTCCCCACTCCAGCATGTCTGGCTTCCTTTTCTCAGTGTTACATATGTGAACTTTCTCCTTATACCAGTAGGTGGTTATGGATTTATTGTGTGACTGTACCACATTTTCATCTGTTCTGTGGATGGACAACTGGACACTTTCTAGTTTTGCCCTTTATAAATTATTACTATGCATATTCTGGTTGCATTAATTCTTGTGAGCATGTGAAAATGTTTTTGTTGGGTGTTTACGCCGAGTGCATTTTCTGGGTCTCAAGGTGTCCATATATTCAACTGTAGCAGATCACGCCCAACAGTTTTGCAAAGCCCTTGTTCCCACGTACTCTGTAACCAGCAGAACATAAGGCTTCTGGTTGCTTCAGATCTTGGCCAATGCTGAAAGATTTTAGTTTTTTCCTGTTTTTTAGAAAATCATCTCAGTCAATTGTTTTTCCATCTGAACTGTTTCTTCCCCCTAAAACAACAACAAAACAAAAAAGTGGAGAAAAATAATCCCAGTTAACAAAATACCTGCTTCATGCTGAGATGCTAAAAGTTCCTAAGGTCAAATATGGTGCATGGTCCCAGGCAGGAGCAAGCTGGGTAGTTTCATTGTATGTGGGATGGTTTGGACTCTGTTTTTCATGTGTCATTTCAAAGTGATATGTAAGAAAAAGGTGTAAGATGATGACCTTAAAGAGAATATAAGTATTAAAAACTTGAAGCAAATTTAATAGTTAAAGATGAGACTCATGTGTAGATGTGCGTCCCCGCCCCCACCCCTAGATTTCTCAACCTGCAGGTGTTTACCTGTGGCTTCCAGTGTCTTCATGTTCTCCCACTCTGTCCTCACAAAGTGATTCCATTTGCTTTGTCAGCCGGTTCTTCTGCTCTTCCTTTGTAATAGTGTCTAGATGATTGAAATTTCTTTATCCACTGGTGAATCTTTTTTTTTAAATTAACATAACCATTGCTGGATTATTTAGGTTTGTCCAATATGAGGTGGCTTTATTGCTAGACACCATTTTAAATATTTGATGCTGTTTCTTTGGTGGAATACACAATGGCAGAGATTTAGAAATAAAACAGATAGCTATAATGATGACTTAACTAAAATTTCTGTTACTTACCAGCTGGTGGAGTCCTGTTAGTAGAATTTTATTTGCGAGCTATCTCTCCAATGAGTTAGTAAACTGAAACAGTATGGTAAAGAAAAAAAAAATAATGTTAGTGGCTACTTAGTACTGCAGTGGCCAAACAGACCTTTATTTAAGTGTGCTAACTTCTGGTGTGCTAACTTTTGAGCAATTATTAAACTTCTGTGCTTAAGGAAATACTTGGAAAGGTCTAGTACATCCTCACAAATACTCATTGATTGTTCCTAAAGAATCATTAAGTTATTATGCATGAGCTGCCTCTCCAAAACTGTTCTGACTTTTGCCCTTCAGATCATCCCTGACTTACACAAATCCCACTTTGAGGTCATCTGGGTATCAACCAACATCTTAATGTTCTTTCTGAATAGCACTGCTGGGTGCCTGTTACTTGAGGATATCTCCCTAGGGCCCCTTAAGACAGTATTGCTTCTGGTGCCTTGAGCATCTTCCTCAACTCTGGTTTTATACTTAACACGGGAGTAGAGCCTTTGAATTTGAGGTACCATGGGCAGTGATGTCCCCTGACCTCCAACCATCACTTATAACCATCTGGTCCTCTCTGGAAACTGATTTTGCCCTCTGGACTCCAAAGTGTGTAGAAGTCGCACAGGCACAAGTGAGTTCCATAAATCCACGGGGTAGGCAGACGTGGCAGCTTCATTCAGACTGGCCCTTGGAGAGCGGTGGTGGGGAGGTGTGAACAGAGACTGACTTTCATCGATTCCTTGAAGGAGCAGGTCAGGTCTGCCCTCCCTATGGGGTGTCTAGACCCGACACCTTGAGCAAGTGCTGCTTCTCTGGATGTGCACTGTTGGTTTCTGTTCACTTCCTAAGAGGTGGCTCTTCCTTCCTGCACCCTCCCCCAAACAGACCACCAGCCAGACGGAGCTTGAGAACTGGATCACCGCCATCCACTCTGCCTGCGCAGCCGCGGTCGCCAGACACCATCACAAAGAGGACACGCTCCGGCTCCTGAAGTCGGAGATCAAAAAACTGGAACAGAAGATTGACATGGATGAAAAGATGAAGAAAATGGGCGAGATGCAGCTGTCTTCCGTCACAGACTCAAAGAAGAAGAAAACTATATTAGATCAGGTAACCGTTCTTCCATGTGCAGACCCAGGCAAACTCGTCAGTCCTCACAATTTTTCTTTCTTTCTTCTTCTTTTTTTTTTTTTTTTTTTTGCCGCCTCAGAGTCATGAAAAGTCCTGGGTTATCTGCTTGTCAGCCTGTCATCCAGGCTGCTAAATTCTTTATTGTGACTGTCAGTTTTCTCCACCCTTTGTTCACAGTTGATTGTTATGAGCTAAAGGGAACAATATTACATTGAATGGAAGACAGGAATCTAATAGAGGCACCTCCCAACTCCCTCCATGGCATGTGATTCTAGGGGTCTGTGTAATTAGAAAGTCGGCAGTTTCTTTCCCCACTTGGAGAGGTTGACTTGGAGCTCAGCTGTGGTGGGGACTAGTTTCTGGCTCTTCAGTAAATGAGAATTCTAAATTTGGAAAGGTGAAGTGTGTTTTCAAAAATGTGTGCAGACATCCCTCATTCTTCACGGGGGCTTGGTTCCAGGATCCCTGGAGATAACCAAGTCTGCAGATGCTCGGGTACCTTATATAACATGGGGTCATATTTGCCTGCAACTGATGTACATCCTCCCTTATAATTTTAAAGCATCACCAGATTAGGATGATACCAAATACAATGTAAATGTTATGAGATAATTATTGCATTATGTAGGTAACTGTAACATTCAGTGACTAATGAAAAAAAGTTTGTACATATTCACTACAGATGCAGTTTTTTTTGATCCATGGATGGTTGATTCTACAGTTGTGGAGCCCAATGATAAAGAGGGGCATTGTATATAATTGCTATATGGGCATAGGTATTACTTCATGCTAAAAAGGAAAGTTTTGGTAGAATAAACAAGGATGTTTTTGCCTTATATTCAGGTATTTTAAAATCAGTGATAGCCACCTGGTGGTGCTTTGAAATCTAGTCTTAATGCTTAGGTAATAACCATGGGAATAAGTAATATTTAAGTAGTTGATGACATGAGCCAGCCCATGCCTTTCACATCTCTCTCCTATTCTTTCTATTACTGGATGAAACACACACACACATACATTAAGATAAAGTATACATAACATAAAATTAACCATTTTTAAGTAAACAGTGGCAGCTAGCACATGCATGATGTTCTGCAACCACCTCCTCTTTCTAGTTCCCAAACTTTTTTTTCACCCCAAATGGAAACCCCACACCTAATAAGCATTTACTCCCCTCCACCTCTGACATTCCTTAAATGGATTTGCCTATTGGAGATTTTTCATATGAATAGAATTGCAAACTATGTGACTTTTGTGTCTGGCTTCTTTTCACTTAGCATAATGTTTTAGAGATTGATTCATACGATAGTGTACATTAGCATTTAATTCATTTTTTTCCTCAAATATTATTCCACGGTGCATACATCACAATTTCTTTATCCACCCATCCACTGAAGGACATCTGAACCATTTGCAACTTTTTGCTATTGTGAATCATGTCACCATGAGCATGTGTGTACATTGGCACTGTACTTCAGGTTGAGGTGAAAAAGTAGACATCAAGCATTGTTCATTAACTGGACCGTCATCAACAGCACAGAGCCTTTACTACCTGCCTGACCCTGTACTTATTCTTGTGTTATTTTCCTTAAATATTACATCCATAGGCTGGGTTTTTTTTTTTTTTTTTTTTTGCCACTTTGAAAAATGAAGGACCATGCAGTGGTTGGTGCTGCATGTCCCAGAATCTGAACTTCTTTTGCATTTCACCTCCTGTCCTCTGCTCAGTACCTCCCACCTCCTTCTAAAGCTCTTGGTCTCTTTGCCTCTGACCTTTAATTCACTTCAGTTTTCTTCTCTTGTTCTCATGGAAAGCCACCTCTTGATAAAGCAAGTCCCTACATTTTTACTCCTATCTTGGGTGTGTAGTCTAGATTTTGGAGGTGACAGACCCCCCCCGCCCCCATGCCCTTAAACATGAGATCTAGGGTAGGAGAATCACAGAGCAGCTAATAATATACTTTCTGGCTTGTCATACTGAAGTTGTGGCTAATAGATCTTTGCAGAAAAAAACACATTTTAAACCTGAAGGTACCTGACGTTTACCCCTTAGGATTATAATTAGGACTTTTACAACACATAGATTTGTAAGATTTGTATAGAATCGAGTTGTTAATGCTTGTTTCCCTTTTTCTCACTTTGTCTTTTCCCATATTGTCACTACTGTAGATCTTTGTTTGGGAGCAAAATCTTGAACAGTTCCAAATGGACCTATTTCGTTTCCGCTGTTATTTAGCTAGCCTCCAAGGTGGGGAGCTGCCAAACCCCAAAAGGCTACTCGCTTTTGCAAGTCGACCAACGAAAGTGGCAATGGGACGCCTCGGAATCTTTTCTGTATCATCTTTTCATGCCCTGGTGAGTAGAAGCTAATAAATTTTTGAAAAATGTTCATCTGGATGCTCAGTCCTAAACAGGACCAGACAGGAGTCTCAAGGGTTTTGCTAGTTTACTGCTGTGTGTGGATTTCTGACATGCCCTCCCTTTTCGAACTTTCATTTGAACCTATTCAGAAATCTATTACTTGAGCCTCTCTTGATGCAGCCTAAACTTTTTTTTTTTTTTTTTTTTGCGGTGCTGGGAATTGATCCAAGGGCATTGCTCATGCTGGGCAAACACTTTTCTGCTCAGCATCCTCAGACCCTGAAAGGGTGCTATCTTAGGAGATGTCCACCGTACTATTTATTGGTGGTTCTTGTTATTTTAGGTAGTATTGGCTTTTGAACCCAAATACGTATTTATTTGAATCTAATAGAAATGCTGAGTGGTGGGCTTTCTTTCATGCATAAAGGCTTTCTCTTTCTCTCTGTCTTATTCATATACACATTCATCATATTATTGAGCACAGATATCTTTGGAATTCTCCATTTATTTTTATCACCCATGGCTGTAAATACCGGATATGCTGGAGAAAGGCAAAGAACTTCCGTGATGTACTAACTGAACATATTTATTGCTCGAGGAAGGGAATTTTCATGTGACCTCCAGAGCAGCAGATTGTCTAGTTGTGTTGTGTGTTTATAATCTGTAATTTCATGTACTTGCTAAATTGCAAACAGCTTTATGTACTTTTGGCTCCTTTCTGTTGGGGGAAAAAAAATCACTGCAAGTAACATGCTTTTAGCCTATCCAGGTCGACACCCACTTAAAATGTACTGCACCTTAGTACATTTGCTATGGAATTAAATGTTAAGTTTCAGGTTCCAGAAACTGCTTTGGAAAACCTTAGCTGGGCTGCTCTTGTCTTGCCATGTCAGCTGTACCCTCAATTGAATTCAGAGCTGTAATTCAGTCAGAGGCGTTTGTGTTCTTTATAAATAGATTAGCGTCATCATTCAGATAATTAGGGGTAGATTTACATTTTTAAAGAAGTCTTAAACCAATTTCTGGACTTATTAAAACTGGCATCCTGATTTGTTCTGCTAATTACAGCTCTGCTCTCGGCCTTCCTGCCTACCTCCTCTCTATGTAGCTATTACATCTTTTTTTTTTTTTTTTTTAAGCAATAGTGGTATAAGTGCTATAATGAATAAGTCTTGCAAACAGTTCTCAGTTTATGGCATGATCTAGGTTGGTTTCTTTGAGTTTGTTCTTCAAAAAAAGTGGATGAGAATTCTTTTTTACCTCCTTGTCAGAAGGCCCTCATCCAGGGAGCGTTTTTTACTGAGAGCTTCTGGTGTCAGAGCGTCCACAAAGCTCCCTCCCTTTTACTGTGGATTGATGAAATTTGGAGAAAATAACTTTACATTCTACCAAAACTTGTATGCTTTAATTATTTTCTTCCATGCCATTGGAGCTAACCTCTAGGAGATGGACAAAGTGAAAGGCACTGTTTTCCTGCTCTGTAATTTATCTTAAGACCTCATTTCCTCCACCTCAGGGTCTGTGACCTGTGTGTCCTTTTCTTTGGGTGGCAAGCTATTAAAATTCGGCCTAAGCATAAGAGAGTTAGTGAGATTTTTTTTGTCAGTAATGTTAAAGAAAGATATTTAATTCCCTGTTCCTTTTTTCTTGCCAGTTGCTCCAGTGTCACAAATCTCGGTGCTTATGTGTCCTTGCCAACTTTCTTTTTCATGAGGAGTTTCACTTGAGACAGATCCAGTTAGGTGGCTCTATTGGGTCTCTGTTCCTGCTCCCTGTGTTAGCTCCTAGGGAGCTTCTTGGACAGGGAATTTTTCAGTCCGGATTTTGGACCCTTATTTCATCCCTCTTCTTTTTGTCATCTGACTCCACCCCCAGTCAAAACATTCTTCAATTTAGCCTTTGTCCTGAAGTGTTTTTTTTTTTTTTCTCTCTCTCTCTTTTTAAGTTAGGGTGGTGGGAGAAGGGGTGACAGGGCAACAGGGCCAGGGGAGGGTTTGGAGCTACAATGGAAGCCCCATTCACTGGGACAGCTTCTCTCAATGCTGAGTGATTTGCTGTAATTAACTGAAGGGTCCCCGCTGTACTCTTTGAAAAAAGGTTATCATTGTTCTTGTTTGCACAGATGAGCTGAATGATAGAGTAATCAGGTGCTGGCCACAAAGGGAGCCTTGGTCTGGGCAGATCATTGAGAAACTGTTGAGCTCTGTCCCAGTGTTCTTCTGCCAGCCTTTTTTCCACATCCCTTTGCTCATTTGGAGTCGTTATTGTCTTGAGGGTAGTGGTTACTTTTGTGATGTACAGGGCTCCAGTAGTTTCGAATAGTTGCTATAGGAACATTCAAACAGACTAGACTAAATGGTCAGCTGGCCACTCAGAATATCTGTAGGTGTTTTAATTTCTCCTTCATGCTCTTTTTATTCCCTAAAGTTGGAGGAGTTACTTTTGGACATCACCAAGCTACTTGCCCTTTGACCTCTATTTATGTAGTCAATCAACATTTGACGTCACACGTCAGTTACTATCTTTTGTTGTTGTTGTTGTTGTTACTGGGGATTGAACCCAGAGGTTCTTAACCACTGTGCCACATCCCCAGCCCTTTTTATATTTTTATTTAGAGACAGGGTTTCACTGAGTTGCTTAGGGCCTTGTTAAATTGCTGAGGCTGGCTTGGAACAACCTTTCTGTCTCAGCCTTCCGAGCGGCTGGGATTCCAGGTGTGCATCACTGCACCTGGCCAGTTAGTGTCTTTATGATGAGGGTTATAGCATTAAATAGCACAAAGGCCCTCTCCAATTGTTCATATGGGAGAGTTGGATAAGAAATAAGTGCATGCAGTTTTGGATATGTGGAAGTAAACAGCATAACAGATAATTCATACATTCATCCCTCAGTGTCTGCCGAGGAAGGTTCCAGGATCTGGGAATGCTCAAGTCCCTTATAAAAATGATGTAGTGTTTGCATGTAACCTACCATATACCTGCTGCCCATTCTCCCATATACTTTAAATCATCTTTAGATGACTTATAATACCTACTGCAATGTAAATGCTATGTAAATAATTGTCATACTGGATTACTTAGGGAATGATAATGAGGAGGAAAGTCCAGACATAATGTTTAGTGCAGGTGAAATATTTTTCCTGAATAGTTTCTTTCTTTCTCCCCCCACCCCTTTTTAACCCAAGGGCACTTTACCACTGAGCCATGTCCCAGCCCTATTTATTTATTTATTTATTTTATTTATTTATTTTAAAATATTGAGACAGGGTCTCACCAAATTGCTTAGGGTCTTGCTAAGTTGCTGAGGCTGGCTTTGCATTTGCAATCCTCCTGCTTCAACCTCCTAAGTCACTGGAATTACAGGTGTGCGCCACCATGCCCGGCATTTCTGAGTATTTCCAATGTGAGGTTGATTGAATTCATGGATACAGGAGGTTGACTCTATAGTACATATGTGAATCTGAACCTGGATTTTCCTGTTTATAAGTAGGTACAGAAACATGAGATCAAACAGGATTTTTTTTTTCTCTAGAATTTTAAAATTTAGAGCCATTTATTCAGTTTACCTTTGTTTACCTTTAACATGGAGTGTGGTGAAAATAGGGAAGAGAAAATTTTTCCATATTTAATGGTGCTTTTTGTTTTGCAAGTTTTGTTCCCCAGAACACCTCCAGAATTATCTTAGACTGAGATGAAAGCTCTCGCTGGTGTCTTGGCTACCATGTTTCTAATGCCACGATCTGGGCTTTTCACGTGCCAACCTGGGGACATGCAAGCTCTCTGCACTTAATCTTCCTGTTTTCATTTAGGACCAAAAAACATCTCCCTCACACCCAGCAGAGAATCTGTTTTGACTTGCTTTTAGCACACGTGGGGTCCGCTTGCCAGTCTCCTTGTGGGTTTTCTGTGTCTGAAGACCCCTCAGAGGTGTGCCAGGTTGCCAATGTGCTGTCTCATCCCCAGCTGCTGCCAGCTGGCATCTGTCCTGTGGGAGCCACCCCCATGGGATTGAGACTAGTGGGTTCCAAGATCCCTCCAGCAGTGAAGGAGGGGTGGTTTCAGTTCAAGTCTGACTCGCTAGACCTCCTGCCACGCCCTTCTTTGAAAGGAGAGCCTGTGGGTGGCCTGCTGAGACCTGTTGGCAGAGGTTCCGTGAAGTTCCTGGGACTCTGCTCACGACCTGTAGGATAAAGGTCAAGCCTGGAGGTTCTGCCTGGAAGGACTTTAGGGCATCTTCAGTGAGATTTCCCCGGATCAATAATCACAGTGGGAGTTTTAAATTTGGGGTGTTCCCTCCTGAAATGTCTCTCTGGGTGGCTGGTACCTCGCAAATATCTTCTTTAAAAAAAGAAAAACAATGCAAGTTTTATTTCCTGTTCACCTACACTTAGAACATGTAAGTTCTGGAAATCAGGACTGTGGCTTCACCTTCTTCAATAACACGGCTCCCTTCTTTCTTATTCTGCCATTCTGGAGAAGAGTTGCACCTGACATTCTAGATAACCCCATGGATGACAGACAGCCCCCTTCTCTTGAGGACCATCACTGGAAGCTGCAAAGAGTTTTTCTACTTATGTCCCATTGACTGGGAACCTAGTCACAAGGCTGTGGCCTGCTCAAGGCAAGCAAGTCAAGTTTGACTTCCTGGTCATGTGCTCAAGTAGATTTGGGGTTCTCTGGCTGAGGGAGAAAAGACAACAGGCACTTGGAGGGGGGCAATCTCACTTGCCTAATTTTATATTCTGGGAGAGCTAAAAGAGGAGATTTAATATGGAATCACAGGAACCAAAGTCTGCTGTCTTTCTGCTAGTTTTGCTGACCTTCAGCACCATTTTTCTTTAGAATGCAGAAATAGCTCTGTAGCATTTGGGGAGACTCTGTAGAAAGCATGGCTCATTAAACTGGATGCTGTAGTTCAAACCTGTGACCAGAAGGACATCTGTTCTTGGAAACAACATATATTATTTTATGACTCTTTTATATATCTTTGCTGATGATTTCATAGAGTGGTCGGGTCTGCCAACCTTTCATTTCCATTTTGAATCCATGAACAGCCTGAAAGTTCCCATGTGTGTGAGTCGTGGATAGACGCTTTGAGCAGGGGGGGTCATTGCTGACCGCTAAGAGGGAGGAAGGGTTTTGAAGGGCAGGACTAAATGGGGACCTCAAGGAACAGGTGGCCATCCTGACAGATCTCTTATGCCACTTGTCCTTGCTATCATTAGGTGGCAGCCCGTACAGGTGAAACTGGAGTGAGAAGACGTACTCAGGCCATGTCCAGATCTGCTAGCAAGAGAAGGAGCAGGTTTTCTTCTCTTTGGGGTCTGGACACTACCTCCAAAAAGAAGCAGGGACGCCCCAGCATCAATCAGGTAAGTTCCAGAGTGGACGGAAAGGAAACCTGCAGATGACTTCTGTGGCCACCTTGATGGGAGATGTGTGTTGTTCCTTTATTGACACTGAGTGCTACTTACAACCAACTAGTTGACATGAAGTTAGTCATGGAGACACTTTTAATAGATAATGTACACCCATAACATTGAACTCTGCTATTAGTCTATCTCCCACCTGCATCCTCTCCAAACCGTGGTTAATTATAGACCTACTGAAAGTGCACAATTCATCTTGAGTCTTCAGAAAAAAAGCAGGGCTTAATGAGGAAGCCAAACGGGCACCTAAGGACAGGCTAGTTCAGCTGCCAGTGGTGCAGGCTCCAAGGCAGGCTTCTGGGTGATTGGATTGTCTCTTTGCCCTTGACTTTCTGGGGTTGACATGGAGTGGGCACTTCTCTGCTTTTGGGAATGAGGAGCCAGGAATCTGAGAGTGCACACTTACCACTGTGACCGCTCCTACTCAGGGACAAGGGGTGGAAAGGGATCTCAGCCCAACCTGGATGGGTGCCGTGTGGGCCCCCTCGTAGCCATACACTGTGGCCCTGTTCTTCCCCACTGATCTTGTTGCTTTACTAGCCAAGGCCACTTTAGATTTTAAGGACTATAGGACCCTGAGTATTTATAGTCTTTTTGGAAGAAGGAGAACATCTGATTCCTGATGGATAAGAGGCATCAAACATTTGGGAAGTCATGACCAGAATGCCTATGTGACACATTCCCACTGTGCCCTTACACAAAGTGGGAGGACCTTGGCTGGCTTGATAGGAGGATTCCCTTAAGAACAAAGTTTGAAAGGAGCTAAATCCTGATAGCTGATGTGGCCAACCAGCAGTGGAGATGGAGCCTGCAGGAGACCAGATGAGCAGAAGATGAGGGACTGTGAGCCTGAAGGATTTTCAGTTTGCTCTGTGGTCTTTGAGGAGAGAGTACATTGAGTTTGCTCCCATGGGCTTTGCTCTTATATGAATCTAAAAAATAAACTGGAAGTCAGTGGCTTATCAGAACAGTCACACAAGATTTTGATAGTTCTCTATAAGCTTGCAAGAGTAGGATATGAACAATCAGCGTTTCACCCATCCTTTTGGGAAACTTGGGTGTCGTTTGGCCCCCATCCTGTGTCATTACAGATGATTCACTCAGACCTGCTATACATATGGGTCAGGAACTCCCAGTTGGACTTGTGTTTGATCAAAGTTCTTAATTCATGTGGTTCTGCTTTTTTTGGCTCCAGGTTGTTGGAGCTCATTGCTCTTGAAATATGGGATTGGATTTAAATAAATTTGAGAGAATGTTCTCAGTCTTTTTCCCTCCATATCAAAAGGACAATGTAATGTCTTATAAATAATTCTTGTTTAAAAACTCTTTCTTTAAGAAAAAATATTTTTTCTTAAAGTAAGAGTTTTTAAAAAGTTCCTGCTTAGCCATGAACATTCTGATAGAAATTTACTCGTGATCTAGTACTTTGAAAGAGAAAAAATGTACATGTTTCTGTAGTCTACCTATGCACTGGAGGAAAAGCTTATTCTTAATCATGTCCCAAATTATCCTGATGATACTTGCTTATTTTAGAGCCAATACATAAAATTCCTTGTGTCCATGTGTTGGGGTATTGACTACCTAGTGGTATTGGTACCCTATTGTGGTTTTCATGGTATCTTTAAGTTAGCAGGATTCATTAAATTTCAAAGAATAGGCAGTTCTCTATTTTAAAAAAAAATTTTTTTCTGCCATTTTGCAGTAACAAACTATAAATATCTTCTCAGGTCTTACTTCAGAAAGTAATAAAAGTAAACATTATTCTTTGTAAATACCTGATCAGGTATATAAGGCAGAATTCATTCATTGTGAATTAATCTAGTTATTTTCCTTTGCAAGTTTATTTTCTTCAGATTTAGAGACAAATTATCCAGATCTAAAAGCAATTTATTTTTGTTTTGTTTGTGTTTGAATGGTTAAAGGTGTGGGAACATGGCTTTCACAATCTGGTACCATAAATGTGTTACTTGCTTTGGGATTTGGTGTAGGAGTATCTGAAAATTACTGTTATGTTCTTTCATAACCTTGTCCATTGTCCATGCTTCATTCGCCCCATTGCCCGGGTTTCTTCTGAAGATGATACTTTTGTATGTGCAGGTGTTTGGAGAGGGAACTGACGCTGTAAAGAAATCTTTAGAGGGAATATTTGATGACATTGTTCCAGATGGCAAGGTAAAAATAAACACGTGTTCCTTTTCTAAAAGTACCACGAGTACATCAACATGTGCATGATGCATGGTTTCTCAGGCTACTAAAATTAAGTAGACTCAATATGAAAAACTGAAATAATCAGTTTTTTTGAAAAGTTATATAACAGGCCAACGAGTGATGGAAAATCATTTCATGTTTAAAACTTGTCGATAAGAACATTCTCCTGCTGACATAACATTTTCCAGACTTATCATTTGATGTGAAAGTTTCCGACTAGAATATGAGAGGAAATTTGAGTTCTGAGTTAGCTGAATATTTTATGTCATTGCTAATTCCTTTTTATGTACAACTTCTATTCCCAGGAGGTAAGTTCTTATTGCCCTCACTCTGCCCACACATGCTATTTTGCTTCCATTAATTCCAAAGAAATGTTCTGATAGTATGTTCTTTTTAAAAAATGCATCTGCCTCCCAAGTCAAGTATTCAATTAAAGATTCACAGACTTGGTTTAACCTTGCACTTGGGTTTAATAGGGACTTTTAAACGGCTCTGATTGAAAGTCCATAAAGGTATTGATTCCCCCCCCCCCTTGGCCACATTTTTCCACTTCTAAATAAATGGACATCTCTAGTTTTCAAGACCCTAGTAGTCATACCAATGGCCTCTTTGGGGGTTTTGGTGTTGAGGACATTACCTTGGTAAGGTTCTCTGGTTCTCTGACTTCGGATGATGGAATTCAGCTCTGGGTTGCCAAGCAGTGTCAGCAGTGGCGTGGCCTCATATTCTAGAAGGAGCCAAGCCTCAGAAACCAGAGTGCAGTGGAGAGTTCTGGCTCTAGGCGGGAAAGAGAGTAAAGTGACAGCAGGTGGCTTTTCTTTCTTTGTACTCAAGCAGTTTGTGGATTATGACATACTGGGAATACAACTAGGCCAGGTATGATGGTGCACACCTCTAATACCAGTAGCTTGGAGGCTGAGGCAGGAAGATCACAGGTTCAAAGCCAGCTTCAGCAATTGAGCGAGGCTGTAAGCAACCTAGTGAGACTCCGTCTCTAAATAATATATGAAAATGGCTGGGGATGTGGCTCAGTGGCTAAGCACTGTTGAGTTCAATTTCTGCTACCAAAAAAAAAAAAAATTCCAATCAGGGTCCTCTCATTGAGCATCGGTATTTGTTGTGCCTCTCTGTAACACAAGCATGGTTTTTACATATTTAGTTGGTTTATGGTTTACATATTTAGTTGGTCAGCTCTGATTGGCCAACTCATCTAACACATTTTTACATATTTTTAAGGATGGTACATCCTCTCCCACACAGAGAAGGTGGAAACCAAAGGTTTTTTTCTTTGAATTTCTGTTTAGCTTTCTGGATTTTCCAACTTTCCAGGACACCTCTGTATTTATCCCACTTTGTGGATAGCATGCCTCATTCTCAAAGAGCAGTTTAGCTGCAAAACTTGGGCTAATCCAGTGCTAAGGGGCACTTTTTTGATGTGGCACGTGGGAGCAGCATTGGAAGATTCCAATTATAGTTAATGGGATGTAGTCAAGTTGATTGCTTTTTGACAGCTCTTTCCCTGGGGTCCAACTTATCTGTGAAAGCAACAATGTTCAAAGACAGAAATTATCTTCTGCAACTGGGCTTAGTTTAGTGGCCTTTACTGAGACATTTCCCCCATCCTTGGATCCTTTTTATGTATGGAAATCATTATGTTACCACCTCTCAGCCTGTATTTGGAAATTTGTTCCTTCTTGTAATTTTCTGATATGGTCTTGTTCTTGGTAATTTGTAGACATGTATTTACCCACCAGTGGCCTGGTTATAAACAATAATGAAGGCATGCTACTTGGCATATAAACTGTTGATATCATGTTTACATTGCTGAAATCTAACATAATTCATTCCTTCATTATTTCACTGGGTTCCTAACATTTCATCAACCTCTGGAGCATTTTCTAATTCAGCTTTTTAGTGTGAAGTTTAATGTAGCTGTTGAATGATACTTTGCTCCAGACACTCCAGCACTTGGTGGTCCTCCCCAATCCTCAGGCTTAACTGGATAGTGGGCAGAGTGGTGGGGTGGAGCCATAGGGGGCAGAGCCTTAGGGGCAAAGCCATAGGGGAGGAGCCACAGGGGGCAGAGCGGTGGGGGGGCAGAGCCATCTCAGTGGCCTTTAGGAGGTTGCTATGAGGCCCCTCCTCTAATATTAGAAGTTCATCTCGAAAGTAAAGCTCTCCCTTTCCCAGAATTGTCCAAGGATTATACAGAAACAACATTACCTATCATTATGTAATGCTGGAACATTATCTTTATGAACAAGTTCCCTTGAGGCATCATTGTTGCTTTGAAGTATAAATTTCACATGGCACATATTCTTAATTGAAGTTTTTGGCCCAAAACTTAAAATGTTTTTGTGGAAGAAATAATAGCAATAAAGCTGAACTGATTAGGTGGCCTGTTTCTTTCTTCCAAATTTCAGTACTTACTTATTCATGTCTTGCTTGACTTTGAATGCCTGGGGCCAAGTTCTTCCTGCCCTGCTCCAGACAATGCTCCTTTCTCAATAGTTTCTCTCTCACCAAGGGTTCCCCTGCCTCCCACCACTGCCACCTCTTCTGCCCTGGGCTGACTTCCTGGCACTAGATAATCCCTGTGTGCAAAATCTGGGGCCTTGGGATGTGAGAGGCTGACAGCTGCAGCTCTGCTGACCTGACTTCTTATTACAGAGGGAGAAAGAAGTGGTCTTACCCAGTGTCCACCAGCACAATCCTGACTGCGACATTTGGGTCCACGAATATTTCAGTCCTTCCTGGTTCTGTCTGCCCAATAATCAGCCAGCTCTGACCGTCGTCCGGCCAGGTGACACTGCACGGGACACCCTGGAGCTCATCTGCAAGGTATGGAGCTACTTTAGATTGTTTCCCTGAGAAAAGCAGAATGAAGCAAAGGACTCTTCTAAGGTACATATGGAAACTTGGTCTTATAGAAGGAGGCAGCACTTAAAACCCATTTCCATTTCATTTCAGAGCTGCCTTTTACCTGCCTTTAGGATGATATGCATAATAATCTTGGAGGAACTTCCTCTCTGGGAGGGAAGGAACTCTTCTAACTTCTTTCAAAATGTGTGTGTTTTTTGCAATATTACATCCTTATATTTTGGAAAATTTAAGAACAAGACAGCACATCACCGTGCTATTCAGGACCTTATTTACAAAATTCAAAAATAACCACAGTAAACATTTCAATGTTCGTTCTTCTATTTTTTTTTCCTACACATACACATATTTAGTAAGGTCATATTATGGATACTGTTTTGTGCCTGCCCTTTAGTCAGCAATTGATACATCATAGGCATCTTGAAAGAAGAGAAAAACTAAAGGGAGTGTAAGTTTGACCTCTGTGCTGGGAAATTCTTAATGTGAACACAGAATTAGCCTGTTGTGGGTCTGTTGGCTTGTTTTTGTTTTTGATTGAACTCCATTCCTCACCTCTCACCTTAAGCTATAGAAATACCTTTTTCAAGGTGAACCTGGTTTCATTTTTTCCCCCCTGGAGAACAACCAGATGAATACCCTTGAGTGAGGGCATTATGTGCCTCTTTTTATTTTTACCAAAGCAACAGCTTCGAGATGGTTTTATTGAGTAGTCACATCAAGTCTAAGAAAGAGCAGTTACTTGCCCATTTTACAGGTGGAGAAATGGAGTCTCAGAGAGCCTCAGTACCTTGCCTGAGCTCATGTCACTCTCAGATGCAAGGGAGAGACTGAGCCTAGTGGGTGCTCCAAACCTGGGAGTTTCCCAGTGTGCTACTGGGCAGTCACAAAAACTCTTAAGAACCTGGGTCACTCTTCAGCAAGGACAGTCCATAAGACTCAGAAGAATCCAGAGTATATTCTCAGGAGAGTAGATTAGTATTTACTGGGACTAAAAAAGGGCAAGCAGAAAACACTTCTATCATTCTATTCTCAAAAAAGTTGAACGGATGAGACTTCTTCATTCAATCCTCAATTTGTAAATATTGAATAACTTTCACTCACAAAGAACCTTTGTAGTTCTATGATCAATGTATGTGTTTTTAAAGAAACAAATTAAGAGAGCCCTTTTAAGGAGAAAATATGGCTCTTCCTATGAGTGGGGGAAATGTAACAGTCCAGTGCAAATAAGCCTTTCAAGTAGTCTTGTGTGGAGGGCAAGTGGAACAGACACTGGTTTCAGGACAAGCTAAAATCAGCCCCCATGTAGATGTTAAAAATAAATTTTGTCACCTTACGCATACTTTGATGGCTTCATGTAAGTGAGTTCTAACTTTTAAAGATAATGACATCTGTTCATAATTGTTCATTTTAATTTTTTAGCAAAATTGGCTTATTGAGGATTTCTGCATTCTTTTATTTATAGAAGCACAGTTCTTTAACTAGCTCTTAATATTCTGCAGAGCTGTGGGAGTTATTCTCAGATCTGTAGCTGAAGGTGTTAGAAGCAGGACTCTGGACTTTTTTGTAGAAGCCAAAGCCTGGGAGGTGTTTGCAGGGCATAGCATGGACTTGCAGTGATCTGTGCTCATCGTCTTTAGACTCCACCAGGAATCAAAGATTAAGCCATGCTTTTCTGGCAACCATTGATTGCTTGGAAACTGATCAGTGAGAAGAGCAATGAATGATTGGCCCAATTTTAGATACTTTTCAAGCTTTACCTTTGGTAAAAACTAAGACAATGAAAGATGACATTTTAACTGCCAGTTTGTCTTCCTCTATAAGATATTTATTTCTGCCACTTGAATGTTTCTGATGGCATCATTAAGGTACAAGTCCCTTTCTCCAACAATAAAAGGCTGTCCTGCAATTATTCCCCAAGTCTTCATTTCTTTTCCCCAAACCTACAAACAAAAACAAAGAACATGCTGTGGAACAAGCGTACATGTCATGAATTTAAAAATGCAAAACTTTTACAGTACACTTTAAGAAACTGAAGCTCCCTGGAAAATTATCTATGGGGGATAAATTATATCGTGTGCTTGGAGCCAGGTGTCTTCTAAAGCTTGCCTCTTCTTTGGAAAACACTTTATTGTAATTAGTGGAACCGATTTGATTCTTAAGAGGGAAAGAGATAATGGGGGAACAGTGCCACATGTTATTAATGATCTGATCTAATGGTGAGTGGGGTTTTTTGTTGTTGTTTTGTTTTTGAAGGAGGGATTGAAAGCAAAGATGATTATAAGAATGCATGTCTTTATTTCATTATTATCATGCTCAATGTTGGCAATGGATGCTTCCTCTAATATTTAATAATCAATCTCTTTCTTCTGTCTCTTGCATTCAGCTCATTCTCTTTCCTATTCTCTCTGATCCACATCATTTCCCATCAGTTTGCCATCTGCCATCTGATCACCAGTCAAGTTCTGGTATAGTAAATGTTTCAAGATCTACATTTCATGTTATAGATGCTACTTGAATGATTGTTATTAAATATAACAGGTAACCATGTGGGCCTAGAAGTGGATTTATTTGGATTATTGCAATTATAAAGATAATTGCAAAAAATTCTCTCATTCATATTCACTGATATTATTCATGTGTGACATGGTGTCTGTTTTATTTCTTGCTTTCACTATGTTGGTCTGTGGCTCTGGATATCCTAAAAATGATTGGCATTTAAAAAATAAAAGGTCACTTGAAAGGCAAAGGAAAATATCTTTGGAAATTCTGCAGTAGCACCTTGCATATTCTGTGTGTGCATGGATTTCTGTGTTCAGTAACTGCATGTTTATATGTTTCCCAGACCAGTTTCACTGAAACGAAGGGAAGTGGAAGAGCAAAACATGATGGGTTAGAAGATCCATAACAATACATTCTTACTTATTTTAATGGCTAGCACTGTTTACAGAAACGTCTACATTGTGTTTTGCTATTTCATTCTTTGAATGAGTTGTAGTAAGATACTGATTTTAAAAAATTATTCCAACTAAACTAAAATTGCTCTGCAATACTATTTATTTTATGGTATAATTTGCAGCTGCCTTGCCTGAAAATGAATCCAGTGTTCTCTAAGTAACTCAAGAAAATGTACATTGGGAAACAAATCTGTACTATTTAAATTATTTCCAAACTGAATTTCTCTTGTTAGGATATTTTTTCTTGAATGTTTAATAAGCCTAAAGCAGGTCACATATTTGAATCACAATCCTAAAATATTCATTCACATTTGGAATTCTTTTTGCACAAAGACGTGTTGTGAACATGGTTGGTTATTTGCCTTGATATTGAGGAGCACAAAATCCTTCTGGAGATTTCTGATGACCTGATTTAATTAGTTCATTAGGATTCATTCTTTATTTTAAACCAGCCGTGACTACAAGGGTTCATAATTCAGAAACTTTTATCAAAGTGAGAAGATGCACTGGAATATTAATCCAGCATCCTGTTTTTAGAATAACCTTTTACAGGCCAAATGAAGGGTTCTTAGGCTTCAAGTAAAACCATTATATTGGATAGTGGGGTGGGAGTGGGGGGTGGTTGTGTAGCAAGAATCACCCTTATTACCATTGCTCTATTTATCGTGCTTTTGCTGTCTGTGCTGTATTGCGCAGCTTATGTGAATTAACATACCAGCATTTAACCTTCTCTGTATCAGTGTAGAGGTGCTGGGGGCATGCTAGCATTTGGGGGGGGGGGTGAGGATCTGTACTCTGCACTGGGGCTACCTGAAGCTCTCTGGACTCTGACAGTGGTCAGACTCCCTCACACTGAGGTTCCAGATACCAGGGTCTTATTAGGAGAGGCTGCTCTTTGGGTCTGAAGGTGGCCTGTGTATGTGGCAGCCTCATGAAGAGTGTCCACAGAATCCTTAATTACTGATATCAAATACATTTCCCAGTGGATTTGTCCCTGTTCCTAAGACCCCATGAAACTTCATTTGTATTCCTTCCACCTCGGCCTGGAATAGACTGGGACCTAGACCTTTAGCGTCTCATTGATGATTTCATTGAAGACCCGGGCAGATGGGAAGCATATGCCACTCTTCTGTCTTATGGAAAAAAACATTTTTTGTTTATCACCCTAAATAGTATGATTTCTTTTTGCTGTTTATTTGTCTTGGTATCTCTCCCACAAGCAGTAGGTAGCGCTCTTCAAACTTCTCTGTCATATTTCCCTGGGTTTATCCATCCCCGCTTATTGCCTTTGGCATCAACAGTCCTGGGTCTGTCTGACAATAGCATCCGGTATCAAATACAGATTGCAACAGGATGCAAACCAGGTGGCTGAAAATGAGCAGCTGAATGGCACTTGTGTTCAGCTCAATGGGCTTCAAACTCTCATGATACCTAGGAATGGGATACAGACTGGGGTTCTCAGGAATCACCAATAGAAAGAGTCTTTATCATCCTTCTTAGTGTACAGGGGCAGCTGATTTCCACTTTCCAGAAATGTGCTTTAGGAATATTATAGGGTACCTGTCTTACATGTGTGTTTATATTTACAAAGCTAAACCACCACTCCTTTTCTGCGCACCCCTTCTCCCAGCCATGCACACTGCGGAGAACTGCGTTTTTTTTTAGTTTTTTTTTTTTTATTAATTTCTGTATTCTTAGTACTTTACACTATGTCTGGCACACTTACAAGATTTGATTAAGTGAATGTGATTAAAATAAGTGTTGGAATGCTGTTTATCCAGCCTTGAAATACATATTTTTGTGTGTATCTATATCTAGATATACATAGGTATACATATATACACACACACACACACACACATATATATGCATAGACACATTTTTACACATTTGGAAGAGGGATTGTAGGGTAAGTGGGAAGCCTGTAGAACCAGTTAAAATTAGTTTAAAATTAAAATTAGTTTCATTTATTTTGAATAATTCTCATCTGTAGAGCTTTAAGTATAAGTGATTTTTATTTATTTGATGAAAAATCTCAGATTCCTATAACGTAAGAGAATAACGTGATGAGTCACAGTGATAAGTCACAGTCTGGATTGTTTTAGAAGCAAATCCCAAACATCCCATCCTTCATCTCTTAGTACTTTAGGATGTATCTTTAAAAGATATGACACTTAAAAACATTGCTCCATGTAAACATGTTCTCTATGGCAATGTATTTTCACACTGCCAAGTAAAATTTTGAAGAGCGTTTTCTTTTTCCTCTGATATCTTCTTAACTGTGTCTTGGGAATTATTTATACAATCATGTTATCATTATTTCTTTTTTTTATAAAAATTAATTCAAGGATGACTTTTTAGATAGAGAAAATCCATTGACCCATCCTGGACCAAAAGAGAAGCCCTGGAATTTCAGTCCTTAACTGTGGGAGGATACTTTTCCTCCATCAAGTAATTTGGTGTGCTTCCAGAGTGGGACACATGCCTATTGCACTGACCCAGAGGGAGTCTCACTGGGGAATAGTGCATCCGACTGAATGCAAATGCCTATATTCACACTGACACACTTGCAAACGAATGGTTAATAACTGTCCACCTCCTTCCACCTGGTTAAAAAACCAACTTTGCCTGGGCCCAGATTTTTTTTTCTTTTGTGATACATATTTCTTTCTTCTCACTCTTCTTTAATCACCCCATGTACACGTGAAACTATGTCTGGGGGCCTCTTTGGTAGTTTTTGCTGAAAACCAGTGATAAACAGCGCAGTGAATCAAATAGAAGTGACGATGTGACTCGTTTGGTTCTATGAAATCCTGTGATACTCATGGAATTTTACTAATGAGTTCAAGGAACAGTAATGTTCATTCTGAGTTTGGAATGCAAACCTTAAAAGAAATATAGAAATGTCGCCCTCTCTACAGTAACAAATCTCTTTTGTTCTTGGCGGGCACCTAGTCATTCCTATTTCCTACTGAACAGACGTTTTCTTCTCTTTTTGTCCCAGACACATCAACTGGATCATTCTGCTCATTACCTTCGTCTGAAATTTCTAATAGAAAACAAAATGCAGTTCTACATCCCGCAGCCCGAGGAGGACATTTATGAGCTGGTAATGTTTATGACTGTTGTCCAAGCACATTCTGTAGGAGATTATTTTCATATTATCTGCGCACTTGTGTTAATTGCAGCTGGTGGAGAGGAACAGAGTTGTAGAATAAATGAGCTTCATCGGGAGCTCTGAAGTTGGTGGCAGTGGCCTTACGTAGCACAGAGTTTCCAGAGTAGAAATGCTACCTCTGCTTGTCTGAGTTGCATTGCTGTGCCATTGTGAGACACTGAAATCCAGAGCTACCTCTGGGAATTTTAACCCCTATTACCAAGTCTCCTGGCAGCATTGATGGTCTTCTATTTTCAGTAGTAACTCTGAAATCAACTGGCTGTTGTCAGAATAAAAGCTCTAACTCCAGTTTTCTGTGACTTCCACATGCATAGCAAGACCAAAGGGTCAAATCTTGTGGGTGAAAAAAGCTGCCATCTCATTGTGTGTCCCAACCTGTTGGAATTCTGTTCAGGCAGATTCCTGGGGACAGTTGTGTGTTTTCACAGGACATGAATTCTGAACCAGACCTGGCTTTCTATATCAGTCCTACTGCATACTGACATTTGGACTTGGCAAAGTAGTGAGATGACCGTACTTCATATCTGGGGTTTAACAAATATTAGAGAGAATGACTCATATAGTAGATGCTAATGGTTGTTATTCTAATAAACTGGTGACAAGTTCCTTTTTCTAGCTGGGTGGTGCATTTTTTTAGTTCCAGTAAAGAATGATTTGGGGAGCAAGGAGCCTCCCTTTTGGAGATCTTTCTGCTTGGTGTGTACTCAGTCATCCCTCTGGGGGCCCACTGCTGCCTGCCGTGCATATGTGAATGGTACTAGGAGGACTTCAGACTTCACCAGACACTGGAACTGAAAATATAAACCCAATGTTCTCTTTTTGGAAAGGGGAAGAAGCATAATTTAAAGATTTAGTGATGTTTTAAGGCAACTTTATTGGGGTATACTTTACATGTAATGAAACTCTCACGGGTTTTCAGCACACGATTTGATGAGTTTTGACAAATGTATACAGTCATGTCTCCACACCTCAATCATAATTGGGAACATTTCTGTCATCCTAAAAGGTTACCTGGGGTCACTTTAAGTGTTTTTAAGGATACATAAAAGAGGGTGTGCTTTTGTAACAATCTTGTCATGTTATGCAATAGAAGAGGATCAAAATGAGTCCATTTTTAGCCATCACTTAATAAGTGTTGATAGAAGAAGCTACATTCAACAGAGAGTAGCTGATCTATTCTTTCTCTGATGTGAAGACAAGCCCAGTATTTGTGCTTTATGAATAGAGAAAGGAAAGTCTGTTTCCTTCCTTAAAAAAGGGAAACATCAGCTGGGCATGGTGACATGCACCTGTAGTTCCAATGACTCTGGAAATTAAGGCAGGAGGATCGCTTGAGCCAAGGAGTTCGAGGGCAGCCTGGGAAACAGCAAGACACTGTCTCAACCTTGCCCTCCACTCCCAGATAAACCCCCAAAAGGGAAATGCCTTGCTGATAACCTTGGAATAGCTAATAGGGTGAACACTTGGTATCCTGGAGGTTAGAGAATTGTTCCCATCCTAAATTACAGAGATTATACCTTGCTAATTACCATGTCCTATACACACAAAGAGCTGGTGTGAGAGACGTTATTTTGAAATTTTATTGATTTATTTTATTTTTATGTCTTGGCTATTGTATGGTATTATTCAACATAGAAGACTAAGGCGTGCCAGGTTTAGTCTGTTTGGATCTACAATTGCTCTGTACATGTTATAATTTAAAAAAAAAATAAATAAATCTGAAGTCAGGTGTGGTGATGCATGCCTGTAATCCCAGCAGCTCAGGAGTCAGGCAGGAGGATTGGAGTTCAAAGTCACCCTCAGCAACTGAGCAAGGTCCTAAGCAACTCAGCAAGAACCTGTCTCTAAATAAAAATATAAAAGTGGCTGAGGATATGACCCAGAGGTTAAGTGCCCCTGAGTTCAATCCCTAGTACAAAAAAAAAAAAAAAAAAAAAAAAATTACACAAAGGAGAGAGAGAGAGAGAGACCATGGTTTTCTCTTGCCCTGTTGCAGGAGACCTCCAGCCCAGAGACCCTAAGGAAGCAAATACCATAATATTGCTTGCTTTCTTGCTCCATTTTTTTCTAAGGTTCTTACCCTTTTTTGTGCTTTGGATAGCTTTGGCTGCCTGGTAAAGCCTCTAGATCCTTCTCAGAATAATGCTTCCTTTGCACATGGCTTAGTTATAGTGGAGTAGTTATTTTTTTAATTAAGATCATATATGTGCTCACTAAATGACAAGGCCTGGTGATAGGTCTAGTAGTAGCTGTTCTGCAATAGTGATGGCCTTTGTAATACCTTGAGATATTAGTAAAACTGGAATGTGGTTTGAAAATAACTGATTTCTATTCATGACAGTCATAGGCACTGGTGATGTATTGCTCTTGGTTGCCTATGTGCATTTATGATTGAAGGAGATGCTCACTTTCATTGCCATGTGCAATGGAAGCATTATTCTGAGAAGGGATCTAGAGGCTTCACCAGGCACTTTCAACTAAAGGCTTGTAAGCATAAAAGACACCCCCCACCCCCCCACCACCAATCATCCAAGTTCACAGACCATGTGAATTCTATCCATGGGTCCTGGGTCTTGAATTCCTGCTCTAGGCCATTAATGCTGGGTATAATAGCATCTGGAGGCAGGGCCTTCTGAACACATGGCATTCTAGACAGCTTCTGAGAGTTTCCAGAATCTCACTTTAACATCTCATTCTGAACAGGCATCAGTCCATGCACTGTCCTTGTTTCCCCAGCCCTCCCTGTTCTGATGTCGGTGTCCTGGGGAACATGCAGGCGTTTGAAGCCATTTCCTTAGAAACAACTCATTCATATATGAGCCCTCTAAATATTTCATTCTATGCCATTGTTCCTGTCAACCATCATTAGTAGTAAGATCAATAATTATTAGCAAAAGTGGGTACTAGGTCTGAAAGACTATTTTGAAGGGTCTAGTATTTTTATTTTGGTGGTCAGGAGAATCTCCTGTTTATGAATAACCAGGAATAGCTATCTATTTATCTGCATTGCTGGTTGTGTTAAGTAAGTGACCCCGTTTGGCTACTTTTTCATGATTAGTTGATCGTCAGGTTCAGCCCATGGAATAATCATGAACCTAGTTGCACAAGCACAGGCTTGTCAAAAACCAACACTAAATGGGTTTTTTCTTAAAGTGACAAGTGGGAATAAAGAGCTTGCAGAAATACTAATCAATTTATTTATTCATTTAGATAGCAAATATTTATTTAGCATTTGTGTGCCTGGCACAATCCTACCTATTTTAGACACTGTGGACTGTGGATATACAAACACCACTACCACTACCACCACCCCACCCCCTGCAAAAAAGAAAAGAAAAAATCCTGGCTTCTGCTAGGACCTCTATCCAGTTTTCAGAGCTGGTGACATAAAAACAAGTCAATAAAGTTAGAGCAAATGGATGTAGAGAGATGGTGCACCTGCAAGCTTAGATGTGAGGAAATTGAGGACCTGAGTCTTAGCAGGGTTTTATAGAAAAGTGTCTTTGAGGGAGCAAAGAAGGCAGGGGAGGAGGTAGCTTACCTGGTCTGTGAGGAGGATGAGTGGGGAGGATAAGTAAGGTGGGATGCTAAGGGGGAAGGGGGCAGCGAGCAGGACAGGCCATGCAGGGCCTAAGTGAGAAGGGAACCTCAGGAGAGAAGGGAGATTATAGGTGGCTTCCATACACACAGGTTCAGCATCTGTGGAGTACACCAACTGCTGATTGCAGATATTAAAAACCAAAAAATTTAATTGTCATTGGTCTGTACTATGTAGTTAGGCATGTGCTGGTCCCACCTGCGTCAAATAGGTACAGACTTGTTTGTGTCCTTATTCCCTGTGCAATATATTGTAGCAACTGTTTGCATAGCATTCACATTGTATTGGATATTATAAGCAAGTGATTTAAAGTATATAGGAGGTTGTCCATTACTTAAATGCAAATACTATGCCACTTTACGTAGAGATTTGAGTGTCCCTTATGTAGGGAAAGTCCCAAAAGCAGTCTCCTATGTTACTCAGAGATGACTGTCTGAAATTCTGTTGCAGTGGGCTCCTTTGTGGGCCATAAGGTGTAAGACCCTGAGCAGGAAGATTGATAGGAGGCCAGAGAGCCAAAGTTGAGACAAGAGGTGATGGTGGCTTGGTCTGGGGCACCCCAAGGAGACATAGGAAGAATGATTGACTTTGTGAGAACTCAATTGCCTGCAGAGACTTGCCTCAAACCTAGTGATCTTTTGATCTACTTTTTTAAAAACAGGGAAATGTTCAACATCATTGTTTTAATCAAGAAAAGGAAATTATTAAAGGTATTTACGAATTACGTATAAAATGACTGAATTTCAAATACATTTTCAAGCATACCCCTTCTTGAAATATATTTTATTAGAGCTTTTTACTAAACCTGGGTTTAGTCCAACCAGCCTAAGAAGGATCATGGTCCAGGGGCTGTTCACAGATCACCAAGGTATCATCCAATACCAGCAAGAGACAGGAGCATTTTCACACCAATTCCAAAGACAAGTAGGTGGTATTGTGCAAGAATAGGAAAGATTGCACAAAGCCCTCTTCCCTCTTGGTCTTTGCAGAGATGCTTGGAACAGTTATACACTGCCACCTGGGGGAAAGGCTTGGCTCTCAAGGATGTTTAAGAAAATAAGACTAAGGCTGCAGCTCAGCTGACCTGAACCCATTGGATATTGTTTCAGTGAGCATTCTGTGGTTTGATGATATATATTAACTGTACTGAATTTGATATTTATGATTTTGGTGACTATATTTTCCTGAACTAAAAATCAGTATAATTTATTTCTTCTAATTAAGGAATTTATTTTTAGGAAGCATTTATGAAGTATACAAATACAACCACATTCACTTTTACCCTTAGCACATTTCATTTGCTGGAAGCTGCCTTACATTAGGGTGTTGAAATAAATCTGGGCTGTTTTCTGGGCTCCTGGGTCCTGAGTACTCTTGCTTAGTCTTAGTACTCAGTACTTAGCCTTCTCAAATGGCCAAAGTAAGTAAGTGAAAAGAACTGGCATTCTTTCCTACATGCTCGAATAAGATGATTTATGGGTCAGTGAGTGGGTGGTGAGAGACGGGGGCAGGTTTAACTCTTCACTATGACTGTGTTACTGCTATAGGATAGATTTTTCTGTTATTCACCATGGGACAAATTCTGTCTTCATGTCACAATCAAATAACAGTGTTTAAGAGCCTTTGACATATTTTTGGAATTTTATCTTTAATTTCGAATTGCAAGTTTTGGCTTACTTACTTAAGCATGTTGTTTTTCTTTTCTCTGGTACCCAGGACCCTGCCTGGGAAATAACTTCAGTTCTAGAGAAAGCCCCAAACAGCTTCAAATCCCAGCTCTGCCCATACCAGCCTTATGAATTTATTCAAGTACTTTCTCTCCAGCCTTATTCCCTTCATTTGCAAAAGGGAGATCACAATTTTCTAATAGAGTTAGTTTGAGATAGGTAGAAAGACGTACAGGTAGGTCTTCATAAGTTATGGTATTGATGACATATGAAGACGAGATGGCAATTAAATTAAATGGCAGCCTTTCTGATGTGTTAACTATTTGCTGTTATTATTTTGGCTTGATAATAAAAAACTCTTTCTCTTGAGTTTATAGATGGGAAATTAATTTAGGTACTTAATTTTTCTAGCTAATTTTGGTGAAGTTCCGTGGCTAAAAGAGAACACCTTCTGCTTATGTAATTTGTTGTCTGTTTCAAGGCTAACCTTTGTCTCTACCTGTCTGTACCCTGGTGAGCTTTTTAGGTAAAAGTCCTACAGGAACAGAGAAAAATGGGAGCACAGAGATTTCTCCTGCTTCCATGCCGCCCATGCTGGCATCTAACAACCTCGTTAACGTTTCCCACCCGAGTACTAGGGATTTTGATGATTTTAGCATTATTTTTCAGCTCTGTGATAGATGAGTAGGGTAAGAATGGACACAAAGAGTGATGTTAGGGAATTATGTAGAAACCAAGCTGTGGCTAAGTTTGCCAATGTGAGTTCTAGTTGCTGCTTTGACTCTTAATAGGTTCCATCCAATGAGAAGATTGTGATGTGATATGAATTTCCATCTAAGTATCAATCATGAAAAAATAGATTTACAAAATGATGACCATTCCTAAGAAGTTATTTTTGATGAAATCCTAATCAGACTCCTCTTTGTCATCTGCAGCTGTATAAAGAAATTGAAATTTGTCCAAAAGTCACTCAGAATATTCAGATTGAGAAGTCTGATGCAGCCGCTGATAATTACGGTAGGTTTGTCTGTCTTTGATCTTTGGTGTTTGTGTTTGAGTTATAGCATTTCCTGTGCAAACGTGCACTTATTTACAATTCAATAAAAAGTCTTTGGGGCCTGTTTAAAACAGAACACATCTGGCCCCGGTGCTATGGAGAGCTGCCAAACTGGGAAGAAAAGCTATGCTTTAAGACTTCAGCTTTCAATTCCTTCACTTGAATCAGTGGGATTCTATATCATGAAAATAGGGATATCATGGGAATGGATTGTTTAATAATACACAGTACTTTACATATAAAGGAAGTATCTATTCGCATCCCTCTCCTACAAACAGAAGCACTGTCTGCCTTTCTCCCACAAGTAATGTTGAAGGGACTTATTTTGGTACTGTGTCCTCGGTCCCCAAGCCACCTCCAGGTTTGCTGACTGACCAGGATTTAGCACATAGTCTGACCCATGATTGCCATGAAATGACACGAAGCCAAATCGGCAAAGGTGCCACGTCTGGGGAACCCAGCCCGAGCTTCTCCCCAGCGGAGTCACGTCAGGTGAATTGTGACAACCGACTGGAAATGCTGCCTACCAGGGAAATTCCTTAGAGACTCAATGCCCAGAGCTTTTCTTGGGAGGCTTGTCATAGAAGCAACTACTGCCCAGCCCACAAAATTCTGGGCGCTCAGGAGGAGAACAGGTATTCACCATAAGTCACATTGTTTTTGCAAATAGTTTGGGTACCAGGAGTCACGTTAGGGTGTTGGGAACTCTCTTCATATCCAAGTTCCTAGAAGCCAGCTGAAGACCACACTTGAAAGCAGGTCTTTCAAAGAAATCACAGTCAGGCCCACTGTGTCAATGTTTTTCTCCATTCTGGTGCAGTTAAATATGTAATCCTTTCCATATGTTTAAGACTAGGCTTCTTTACTTAGTCTTACGCTACTGTATTTTAAATAGTAACAAAGTTGGTGCTTGAGTAAAGAAGGTGGGGATATCCGTTCTGGGCTGTTATCAGTCAGAAGCAACGAGGTTAGCTGAGGTAACAAGCAGTCACCAAAGCCCAGCAGCTCAAAACAGTGGAATTTCTTTCTCATGTTTACCATGCATCCTGTGTGGGTTGTTATTCTCACCCCAGTACCCAGGCCTTAAGCAGCTGTCACCTGGGACATTGTGGCTTTGTAGAAGGGAAAGAGGATATGGTGAAACAAGTATGGGCTCACTCACAATCAGTGGGAAGAGCACATCACACAGCTACACCTGCCTACAAGGGTGCAGAAAATTGCAGGCCTACTATGTGCTTGAAGGAGATTAAAGTATGAGAAGGTCTTCAAACCCTTTCCCGAACAGCAGGATATTATATTTCTTCTGCAGCTATAGGTAGCTAATCTGGCTCTCAGAATGCTCATTAAAGTGTTTTGGCCTAATGAAAAGAGCTGATTTTGAATTCTTGGCCACTTGTATGCCACCTTTACACTACTTGCTGCCCGACCTTAGAACTAAAGACACCAGAAGGCCTGCAGGATGATTTTGATGGCAAAGAATCAGTGCTTATGGAAGGCTCTTCATGCATCAGCATGGACTCAGTTACTGAAGCTGTAATTGGTGGCCCTGGTGTGATTTAAGTGTCTGGGCCTCCAAACTCAGATGCTCCGCAATGATTGTTCTTTTTCTCTTTTGTTGACTTGATTTCTGTTGAGTGGGGGTGAGCTACAGAAGGCTGAATTCCAAAGCCCTTGGATTCTTATTCTAAGACTGAGTGATTTGGGAAATCAGAAATAGGAGTTGAGCATAGAACTGCAACAGAGTAGCACCCCACCCCAGTTGTCCTTGGGGGACGTGTGACAAGGTGTTGCACAGATGCCTGGAACTGTGGACCGTACCAGACCCTGTACATTGTTTTTTCCTCTGCATACATAGCTATGACGAAGTTTCATTTCTAAATTAGGCACATCAAGAAATTAACAACAATAGCCAATAATAATATAGGACAATTATAACCATAAGCATATATTGAAATAAAAGTTGGCCTCAGGGAACTGAAACTATGGGGAGTGAAACTGTGGATGGGGGACCACTATACTTGGTATTTAAATTTTTTTTTATTAAAGTAATCAAGTTGCTCCCAGAACCCACTTCCCTTCCCATCTTGAGGGTGTGATAGGGCAGTAGGCAGCAGTCCACACAGTATTATTAACAGTGCCTCTCGAACCATCCAATGCAAAGAAGCAAGTGTTTGTTTTAACTTCCAATTTTTCATAACTACCACTGCTTTTGTAAAGCACCAGGCCGCATACTTGGAGGTGGTGGCAATGTCCAGTTCTGTAAGAGGTTCTCAGGGCTTAATCTTGGTCTTACTCTTACATTATTGCCAGTAGCAAACAGTTGGCACCAGTTCCTGAACTTCACTTTGGAAAGCCCTGTTGTGCATGGCTGATGACCTCAGCCTGAGCCAGTTCTTCCCAGTACTCTCATTCCTGTTGGGATAAACTGTTCCAAAAGCCTGTGGCCGAGCAGGTTAAAGAGCACCCACGTTGCAATCATAGGAGACCTGCTGGCCTCTGGCCTCAGGAGCTACTTAGGAGTCCAAAGTCAGCTCATTTGCATCCAATGTCGACACCTACTTAAGCGTGGCTTCCTTTATATGCTGAGTTCAGCGTATGGAAAAGCTACTAGCACACAACACCAACACACACACATAAAATCTAACAATACAAGGCAGATGCTGCTTTCTATTTTAGAACACTTGAGGAAGGAAAATATGATCTAACCGTCCAATTGATGGAACAAAGTTAGAGAATTAACACTGAGTTAATCTCTCTCTCTCTCTCTCTCTCTCTCTCTCTCTCTCTCTCTCTCTCTCTCTCTCTTCCCTCTCCACTCTCAGATTATATTGTGGAAATCAATCAAGATGGTTACATGATGCTCAAGGGTGGTAGGCCCCAGTTCAGCCTCTTAGCATTCCTTTTCTCTGGATGCTCCCAATTGTATTTCGACTCACGCGTCCTCCTGAGGGCAGAGGTGTGGATGTTAACTGTATCCTGGACTCCAGTTTTGAGTCTCTGTTGGGTCTCTTGTTTAAATTCCCCTTGGCCATGAGTTTCTGCATGAAGAATCTGGCCATTCATCATGGGAGTTGCTCTTAGTTTCCTCACGTGGTTTTAATCCCCCCCACTCCCACCCAGGATCATTACTCTGGTTGTCACACATGACACCTTCCCATTGTTGCAAGTGACAACCTTCCAGGTGTTGGATAGGTTGGGTGTATATAGAATGAGCTCCTTCTGCCCCCTGTTGGCAATCATTTTGGACTGTGTTTGATCCATTTGCTGAGAATCAGTTTTGCTAGTCTATTTAAAAGGGAAAAGAAAATCTGACTTCTGCCAGTTAGCTGTTAAGATCATTATGTTCGTCAGACACCTCAGAAAGAAAACCAGTTGTAGGGTGTTGACTATTTTCTTCATAATTGTCATTGCAGGGGATGGTGATGGAGACCCTTTCTGGCCTGATCTCTAGACAAGTGTCTTGCAGTGTGAGGTCCAGGGCAGAGCAGAGTTCTGTTCACATTTGCAAATTTGGGCTTCCTTGAGTGGTCTTTGGAAAGTAGTTTATGCTCCTTACCCTTTCTTCTGCCCTCTTTCTGGTCGCAGAGAGTTAGTTCCCTATCACCTTGAGAAGTCCAATCCTCTTCTCAGATCCTTAATTTATATCCGATTACCTGGAACAAAATTTACAGTCAATTGTAGTCCTCAGACTGGATGGCTTCCCTGCTGTCACTCCTTGTTTTTAACTTCTTTATTTAAAAAGAGGACTAAGAAAAGAGGTGGTAATACAGATAAATGCCTGAGCCATCTCTGACACTTTGGCCTGTGGTGACTTAGAGTGGGCCCTCAGCATTTCCCCCTGCCATCTTCTAAGTAGGCTGCTCCCTCTACACCCCATCAGGATGCAATTGTTTTTAGGAAAAACAAAATGTTGATCTCAGAATTTTATAGAATTAGGTCTTTCAGAAAGGAGGTGCCTATCGTTTGATGAATCCTGTTCATTCTTTGCCTTGCCATCCCTTTGCTGTGTAATAGTATTTAAAAGGGGGAAAAAAAACTACTGAAATGCAAATAAATATGCCTGTGTTAACACGGATGTCATATCAGTGGTTTATCTATAAAAATGTTTTTATTTCATTGAAGCATCTTGAAAACCTGAAAATTACAAGTTTCTGTAAAAATAGCATTCAAAATAGAATAACAGGAAGACTTTGGAAAGTCCTCCGGCAGCTTTTTGCCATTTGCTGTCTGAGGGAGTTACAGTACCCAGGGGTGTGGGCAGGGCCATGAGCAGCTTTGCCCACATGGGCTGTCCATTTCCTGGTCCTGTGAACTAAACAAAAACCCATATGTTCAACTGGACATGACCTGAAAAGCCTCAATGAGTCCCTGGTACCCACCCTTGTAATGAAGTACTCTCTTTTCTTGTTTACTTGTCTGTTTTTTTTAAACCACTATGTCTTCTCTCTCTGTGCATTTAGACAGGGATTGATAAATTGTCTGGAATTTGTTTTTTCTCAGAGTTGAAATTATTCCACTTGGTTCATTCTTGTGGTCCTTTTAGGAGTGTCTGCCAAGGGGCTTAGGAAAGTAGGTATTGGTTGGATATTCAGTTCACCCATGAAGAGTTTGTCATGAGGCCATCCAGAAACAGGGTGACGACCCAAGCTAATAACCATAGGACTGGGAGCACCCTGAATCCCTGAAATGACTGAGAATGCCTGGGTCTTACTCTGTCTTCTTTTCTGATTTAATAAAAAAGCCTAAGATTAATCACTTCCTAATCTTATGATCACTAATGGAGTATGTAATCAATTAATCAATTTCAATTTGTAAAGTGAGTTGCTCCTTATCCTTTGCTGCAGAATTTTGTTAAGCAGTGCCCATATGGCAGCATGAACACATCATATGGTGGGACATTTGTGACATATCCTAGGGTGCAGTGCAGGGGACACTAGTGAGGTTAGCTAATCTTCTTAGAGTTTGGAAAAGGCAAATGGGTGACATTTACCAGAAAGCAAGGAAAAACAAAATAGCTTCTTCCAAGTGGGTGGCTGGGTACGTAATGTAAAGATTGATGCAATGGTGATAGTTACTTTTATAAGGAGCAACTTCATTTAGAGGGATCACAAAACACATTTTTTTTTTTTTCTGCTTTGTAAAACAGAGTTGGGGGAAAGGTTCTGGCTCCAAACTATAACCCAAAACATTAAACACACCTGGTTCACAGCAGGAGCTTCCTGTTGTTTGCTAAACATGCAGAAGGTATGAGCCCTTGTTCTTCGTGTTTTGCAGGGTTTTCACTTTCTTCCGTGGAAGAAGATGGTGTTCGAAGGCTTTACGTGAACAGTGTAAAGGAAACTGGTTTAGCTTCTAAGAAAGGTAAGTCTGTGTGAGTGTCTTGTCTGTCTTTCTGCAATTCTTTTTGAGTTTCTCCAGTTGGTGGATGAGAAAGACAAGTCCAGAGGATTTTTGTGTAAGGTGTGTTTGAACATTGGCACATTGCAAACCCTTTCAAAGAATATGGTTTTATTCTAACTCAGGTGTGCAAGAAATGTCATCTTCTTGGGTTTTAAATCTGATTCTGAGCCCATTTCTATGGTGCTGGTGGGAAGTTCCATTCAAACCATAAATGGTGGTTTTGCATCTCTAGGAGGTTGTGGAGATCTGCAGAGGTTCCTGCTGGAGCGGAACTTGTGGGAGACCTCTCTGCACTGGTCATAGCTGTCTGGCCCTTGCCTGACATTGTAAAGTCTTGTGAAGCGTACGTTCCGTTGCTTCCATTCCTGGAGAATCTTATCAGAAGTTGAGAACCTAGGGATTCATGATCCAGCCCTCTTGCCCTCACCTTGCAGAGCTCTTTCCTGCGAAATCCTCCCTTTCCCCTGTTTGCCCTCAAAGGACTCATATGCATTTAGACTGCTCTTGGAATCCTGAATCTCCATCCTCTTTCTACTCCTGGGGAATCTTTATAACATAGATTACCATTGGCTCTCCCTATCCATGGGTTCTGCAGTAGCAGATTCAACCCACTGCAGATTGAAAATATTGTTTAAATAAGTAAGTTTGGTCTGTACTAAGCATACAGACTCCTTTTTTCTTGTCATTATTTCCCCAAACAATACAACTATTTACACAGCTTTCACATTGTATTAGGTATTACAAGCAAGGTATTACAAGAGGATGTTGTAGATTTTATGCAAATATGTGCCATCTTACATAAGGTACTTGGGCATCTGCAAGTTTTGATATCCAGGGAAAACCCTGGAATCAAGCCCCCAAGGATCCCAAGGGATGATGGTATTTACTCACTGTTTCCCAGGGTCACTGAAACAAATGACCACAAATTGGGTGGCTTCAAACCACAGAAACTTCTCCTTGCGTTCAGGAGGCAAGAAGTGTTAAACTAGACATTGGCAGGATCGATTCCTTCTGTGTCTTGGGGAAGAATCTGTCACGTGCCTCTTCCTGACGCTGGTGACTGCCAGCCATTCTTGGCTTGTATCTGTTATCAGATTTTGTCTCAGTAGTCACATGACCTTTCTGTATGTCCTTCCTATCTTTACCTGGGCTTCTAACAACACCGTCATTTAGTGGAACACTCATCCTAAATCATTGCGAGTTTAATCATATCTGCAATATAATATGATGATAATTACTGTATTATTTTAGCTATCTCTGCAATTTATGACCGCTGGGTGGACATGCATTTTTGAGGGGACACGATGCAACCCACTATGCTTACCGTAGGTAAGGGTTTGGGATCCGTCCTTATTTCTTCTTGCTGTGGAATTTTTAGTTTTGTTAAAACAGTGGTAAAATAAAACCCATGTTGAATGTCACTGGTAAACTTGGCTAGGATACACGTGTTTGCAGGTAGGGACCTGTGTGTCTTCTGTTAAAGATGGCTGAACAGCGTGGTCAGGGTAGGAGGAGTGTGGCTCTTTCCTCCTCCTTCCACATTCTGGTTTGGCATAGTTCTGGGTCATGGTGTGCGAGCTCCCTATGCAGGTTGATTTGCCCTGTGCCAAGAACTTGGAGACGCACAACCCACAGACCTGCTATGCCTAGAAGTGGCCATGATTGGCCAAGAGGGAAATAAAGGCAGAAGTATTTACCCACTGTCTGTCATAGAGGAGGACTTTCCTTCTTTTTCCTTCAGCCCTTTCTGGGCCATAGGGAGCCTGGAGGCCGGAATTGGATACAGACACTGAGCTGTGTCTCAGCCAAGTGCAGAGATGATGACAGGGTTTATTCCCCTTCGAACCCCAAAGCCTGATCTTTATCTTTTTTAGCACAATGAGTGTGCTGGGTGGCGTGGCCCCGGGGGTGGGGGATCTGCTGTGCTGGTTTCAGTCACATCCTGTGTTAGTTCAAAACCCTGGTGTTTGATGAAAACAGACAGTTGTCAGCTCCAACCCTCTTCCCCCACATAGTGCTGTTCTCTGCAGATGTGAGAGTAGAGGAGCGTTGTCCTCTTGAGCCACACACTGCCCGACACCCCACGTGTGGACACCCATGTGTGGATAGCCGTGTGTGGACGGCAGTGTCAAGAGGGTCTTGGGGTGTGTTTTGTTACATCCAGCCTGTATGTGAAGACTCAGTCCCCTCCCTGCACTGCTCCTGGTAATGGGGGACTTGCTGGGGCCATGCATCCTCCTGTGGGTGACATTTGATTCCAGAGTGTCCTCCTCCTTCAGCCTTCCGCTCCTCTTTGTAGCCAGCCTTTGATATCTCTTATGTTCTTGCCAGATGCAACACTTTCAGATCCTTGAACCACTGATGAGAGTGTGGAATCCAACTCTGGTCGTTGCTCTTTGGATACTGTCAGGGTCTCTGTAGTGTCCCTGTTAAAATGACCTTGATGCATCCAGGGAGAGTCCAGTGGAATATGGCTTAATGGGACCTGAATGTTCCATTTGCATTAATTCAGGTTCAGTTTTGCTTTACTTTTGTCAGCCACGCTGGGCCGTTGGCTGGATGTCCTAGATGTCATCAGCCCTGGATTCCACCCCCACCTGCTCGCCTTCACACACGTGCTGCTCTTGGTGAAGCTCCTGGTGGCTCTGCTTGTAGAATTGACGTTTTGTACCCAAGTATGGTATTTTGCACTTATTCACTGTGGCGTGTTTGTTTGGGGCTGTCATTCTACTCTTGGAGTCACCTGAGGGTCAGTTGATGTCATCTAAGTTTTTCCTGATGGCACATAGGACAGAGCCATCAAGAAAGCCATGTGCCCTATTACTCTAGACAGCCTGAGACTTCCAGAGTTTTCCCATGGTCAGTCACTGTCTCCATGGTGGGTTGGGATTATTTCTGAGCAGGCTGCAATTCTTTGTTAGAAAGAAAAGTGTTTTGTTGTTGTTGTTTGTTTTGTTTTTTTAAAAAAAATATTTTTAGTTCTAGATGGGCATAATACCTTTATTTTATCTATTTTTTTTTAAATGTGGTGCTGAGGATTGAACCCCATGCCTCACACTCTACCACTGAGCCACAATCCCAGCCCCAGAAAGAAAAGTTTGTGCGTTTCTTCTACCAAATATTAACAGCAAGAGCTCATGTCTGTTGAATAGGTTCCATGGAGTTTTACATGGATTACTTTATCTACCCTCGCTTAACCCACTTTCCCTCTTACAAACGAAAACTGGAAGAGATTCGATGGCATTATCAATAGTCACAGAGCCATCCCCTGGGGAGGCAGTGGTGGAGGGATGCTGGGGGGGCTTTGTTGGTCCTCAGTATTGGGTCCTCCTGCTTATTCATACCTGTATTGTGTTCCTATGGTCGTCATAACCAAGCACAACACACCCAGGGCTTCAACAACAGAAATGTACTTTCCCACAGTTCTGGAAAAAGCCAGAAGTCTGAAGTAGAGGAAGCCATTGGAAGGTTCTTGTAGAGAATCCTCTCTTGTTCTCTTGTCTTGTCTGGTTTCTGGTGGCCCCAGAGCTCCCTTGCCTTGTGGATGAATCATTCCATACTCTGTCTCTGTCTCCGTATGCCTCCTCCTCTTCCTTCTGGGTCTTCCGAGTGTCCTTACAAGAACATTTGTCATTGGACTTAGGATCAGGTAACCCAGCATCACGTTTTCTCAAGTTCCTTAACTTAGTGACAACTTCAAAGACACCTTTTCCAAATAAGACCATGTTCACAGGTTCTGGGGTGTGGCATATTTTGTGGGGTCAACATTCAACCGACCATACAGTCATGTTCTGTTGTTCATGTGGACCTGGAATTTCTTTTTGAAAAACCTCATCCATGGTTTTGATTTTTAAGTCTTGTTTTGTTCTTATAGTAAGTAAGTTCCTTTAATATCTAACTATAAGTACTTGGGTTGTTGTAAGAAAAGACCAAAAAACAAACAGTCACAAAAACCCCCAAACCTTGCTTTTCACAAATAGAAATTTTTGTATTTTCGATCTGAATGTTGGGATGCCCCAATCTTTTACTTAATAATGAAATTAGCTTCACAGAATTTTGCCTCTGATTTGGAGAAAAACATTCTTATTTCTCATCCATTCCCTCTCCACCGGTACTGTTTCTTGGAGTGTTTTGTGGTGGCAAATAAATTTCACATGTTTTGGAAACCCGAGTAAGGATAGCCAGGGTGTGTGACTCAGTCAAATTGGGAACTGAGAACCTCACTGTAGCATCATTTTTCTTCGGAATCCAGAGGTGGGATTCCCGATGCCTGAGGGGCTGGGTCACTTCTCCCTTTTGCAGTTCATTTGTCTTTGCTCTTTCTTCACTTCTTTCTCCAACTGTGTTTTTACACATTAGCATATAAAATAAGGAATGCCACTCCTTTTCCCTTCTTAGCTGAGAGCTTACTCTTTCCTTCTCTGTTCTTCCCTAGCCTCTCCCTTGCTCCAGCTGCTGGAATGTTCCTTCCATACTGGTTTGAACTGCCCCAGAATTAGTCACAACTTCTTGTTCTTCCAGGTTGGGCTTGTTCTGGGCTGTTCCCTTAGGCCCCTCCCCCATAATGCTTTGCAAAAGTAGCAGCAGAACTCTGGGGACTTCCTGAAAAAATTCACCCCAAGGTCCCATGTCATTAGAAAGGGAGGGGACCAAGTATTGCATTTGCATCTGTACACTGTTGTCTTTAAATGTATTTGGAGTGAGACAGCTTTACTTGTGTATTTATAGCCAGAGGTTTGGGTTTTTTTTTTTAATAAAGTTTTTTAATATTTATTTTTTAGTTGTAGATGGATAAAATGTCTTTATTTTATTTTTATGTGTTGGTGGGGATCCAGGTTTTGGTTTTATAGAAATGATCAGTAGACATGAGTATGCCCCAGACATCCTGATTGCAGCACAGAACCATTGGAAGATAGCCAGAATTTACATTTGTGAAGAGAAATTGGCAAATGCTTAGATCACATCCATTGAATAAGGAGTGAGTTTGTTTAGGTGATGTGTTGAGGTCAGGACAGGCATGTCCTGAACCTTCCCATGTCCTGAACCTTCCAATCCCATGTCCAGAATCTTCCAATCCCATCATCATTTTGGAGCATTGTAGCTCAGCACCAGGAGCTGAGGCCCCCACTCTGGAGAGCTTGGTGTGTGCCCTTTCTGGCTGAACTTGTAAGCTGTTGTGTTCTGATTTCTGCATGTGACATTAAAAATTTCCACCTTGCGTTGGCAGGCCTGAAGGCGGGAGATGAAATTCTCGAGATCAATAATCGTGTCGCTGGTACCCTCAACTCCTCTATGCTCAAAGATTTCCTCTCGCAGCCCTCCCTGGGCCTTCTGGTGAGGACCTACCCTGAGCTGGAGGGAGGAGTGGAGCTGCTGGAAAGTCCGCCCCACCGAGTGGACGGCCCTGTGGACCTTGGCGAGAGCCCCCTGGCCTTCCTCACCAGCAACCCAGGTAGGCACAGGGCTGGGGGCCCCGGATGGCTGTTCAGCCAAGTCCTGGGAGGTTTGCCACGCAGCCTGCATATGTCAGTGGACTTCCTCTGTCTTGCAGGCAGAACAAAACATGTGAGATGGGCTGATTACCGACCCTGTGCTTCCTGTGGAAATTTCAAAGGGCCAAGGAGTGTATTCTTGTCATGGATTAACTGTCTTTGTTTAAATCTACCCGTCCTCCAGTAGAAAGCTTTATAATGTGTTTGCTATTTTGGAGAAAAGTTGACTATGGATAGAGATAAGGAGACACCCCGCTGGGAATCACACAAGATGCTGAGACTCTGAGTCCTCTCCCAGCCTATCCCAGTCCTGTACTTGGGCTTATGACAGGCTCGAAATGACCACAGTGGAAATGTGTTCGGAGCTGCTTGGTCTCTGACTCTCGGGCTCTTCCAACCTGGAGTCTGAACATGGGCCGTTAGCGGAACCCCCTGCCCTTCCCCATCTGTTGCTCTTCCTTTCCCTCTCCCTCACTCTGGCAACCTTGTGCTCATCCTAATGGAAGCAGCTTGAAAGCTACCTGCCCTTGGAAGTCTTCCTGGAACCCCACAGAGTTCCCTGCCTCCCCTGGGCTCCCGTGATCCTACAAATTCCTCTTCCCTGAGGGCTCTGACCATATGATACTATTCTTACTTTCTTTGTCTGTGCTTATTGCCTGGGAGTGGCTTTATGTTCTTCCTCTTCCCTGCTCTTCGCACATAGGCGACCCATTTCTGTTCAGCCAGAGGTGGGCGAGTGAGTAACCACATGGACAGGTAGACTGTTTTGTTTAATTGTCCATGACTGGGTTCTGGGGTCTGGATTTTGGAAATTGCATTTTGGAATTATTTAAAAGGTCATTTTTAGTTTTCACATCTGAGTTGTAGCATCTGAATTGGGCATTTTATCTGCCATTGCTGTTTTTAAAATTACCATATGAAGCTAGGCCAGCTAAGAAACCCTACAAGCTTCTCATTCTTTCGTTCAGTGGCTTCCTGGAAGAATTCAACTTGTTGCAGCTTCAGAAAATTGATTACATTTCATTTGGTTACTATTGACCTCCTTGGTTCATGTGTCGCTGTGGGACTCATGTACCAGTCTCATTTTAAAAAATTGGCTCCAATGAGTCATGTACCCTAAAAGAAAGGGAATTGAGACCTTGAAGGTTATTCTTTGATGTGACCACAAGATGGCAGCATCGATCCCTTAAAATTCCACTCACAGAGCCCTGTTTCTCTCTGACTTTAGTATTATGTTAGATTACATTATTTAAAGGATTTTTTAAGCTTGGACATGCATAACACCAAGCAACAGTGTGTGCTAAATTGTCTTTTGGTTTTATGTTTTTTCCCCTATTTGAGCCCTTCCTATAGTTATAGATATAAAACTAGGATTACCAAACTATATTCCACAGACCAAAACCAGTCCCGCTGCATGTTTTTTCAATAACCTTTCACTGGGACACAATCTCACCTACTCATTCACACCTTTCTCTGTTCTCCCATTAAAATGGCGAGTTGAGAAGTTTTGACAAGAAATTACAGTTTGCAAAGTCCAGAATACTATCTGGCCCTGTGTGGGTAGGTTTGCCAAACACTGACGTAAAGTGTGCCTGAAATTACTTGCAGAATTTCTTTAAAGAAATCACTGTTGGGACTGGGGTTGTAGCTCAGTGGTAGAGTGCTTGCCTAGCATGCATGAAGCACTGGGTCCGATCCTTAGCACCACATAAAATCATAAATAAATAAAATAAAGGCATTGTGTCCATCTTACAACTAAAAAATATTTTTTAAAAAATCACTGTTGATGTTTTGGTCTATTTTTTCTTAAAAAAACCTGTGTGTGTGTGTATATATATATATATATATATATATAATATATATATATATATAATATATATATACACACAAATATAAATATATATACACGTATACATATATATATGTGTACATATCTATTTCCAATTTTAATAATTAAAAATGCAATATATATTTATGTGTTTTATAAATATCTGGTGGGATCTGCACACAGTGGCTGTTCTGCCTTCTACATGATGATTTACAGTCAGCAGCTGGCCTTCCCCTCTCACTGCCTGTTGTGTCCTGCAGACCAGTTAGCTGTGGAGGTTCCAAAGTAAATCCACTGAACTCACCTTTGTTTAAAACACATTAAAGCTGCAATTTTGGAATCACCTTTGGGAGATTTATTCATTCCTTTGTTGTGTCACAATGGAATGGCCATAACGTGGGACTCGGGTTCCTGCCTGTCCACCTTCTAGGTGCTTCCACTTCCTAGTCCCCATGTAATGGTGAGAGATAAAAGGGGAAGCGAGTAAACAGGATAAAATAACCCATAAGATTGCTCCATCATGAGGCAGAGATAAAGCGGTATCCACACACAGCTGCAGTTAATGTAGAAAACAACTGAGATAATTTATACAATGGGCCGCCTGGTCGGCAACCTTGGTCTAAATTTAGAAAAGTAACTAAAAATAAGAACCATTTTGAGTGGCAGGTTTGAGATTTGATGCAGGGACCATCCTCAGGTGGTCATAAGTGAGTGTTTGGCAACCTTGACAGTGAGTCAAGGTGAGCGTATTGGGGACCCTCAGGTCCAGAGAGCTGCGGCCAGAGAGGGTCTACTGGAAGCTGCTCCTGCCCAGCTCTTGCCGTCTCATAAGCCCAAGTACACAGACTTGGCCAGATCCTCCCCTGAGAATCCTGATGGAAATATGTGGTTCCTTTTCAAGGTTGGGTTATTTCTGGACCTCTTTCTCACATAGAAGCTTCTATATGGAAGCATGACAGCCTGGTGGCTAAAAGTGGGCTCAGGATCCAGATTTCTGGGGACTGCGTTCATTTCCATGTTCCCGTCAATGTTCCCGTCATGCCCTTAAACAGTCCTATTTAATCCTTCTGTGCCCTCACTTACACAATAGAGATGATGACATTAGCCATCTCACTAGGTTGATGTGAAGACTAAGTGAGTTACTCAGATGTTTAAAATAATACCTGTGAGAACTAATAAATGCTTGTATTCAGCCAGTCTCTGGGGAGCATGAGCATGGGCTGGCCTGTAAACAAAGATGGATAATTCTTGATGTCCTTACTACCTACCTTCTCCTTCATTTCCATCTTCAACAGCTGATTTTTTTTTTTTTTCTGATAAAAATTAAGTTCATGAATTACAGCTTGCTTATTCTTTCCCATGTGGAAAGAAAGGGATTCTGTCGTCTTGCAGGCTGAGATCCCAGGGCCCCTTTTCAGAGCTCAGGAATCACTTTGCCTGGGAAGGCCTTCTTTGTGCTTGTTTCAAATTCCCCGGGGGATTCTAAGGTGCTCTAGCCCTGGGGTCTTCTGGTTAGGGACCCTTCCTCTTTTCCTGTCCTGGTGGGGTGCTAAGACAGTGGTAATGTCAAGGTGACTTTGCAAAGCTCCTGTAGCTTCTTGGTAATATGGGGATCTGCCTTCACTGAGATTTTTGTAGGGAAAATCTGTTAGGGGGCCATGGAGCAGTGCTTTCTCCTTCTCTTCATCCACATAGGATGGAAGCGTGGTCCATGGATTGCCATGTTGGCATGGAAAGCCAGGGACTGGATAGGGACAGTCTACCCTACGTGTTCTCTGAGAGTTGGTTTCCTGTCCTTGGCCTCTTGCCGTCCAGTTACTTCTGGTTGAAGTCTCACTAGGACTGCTTTCGTCTCTCTCTTTCTCTTTTTTTTTTTAAAAGCACTTGTTTATGTACATATTGGTAGGATGTCCAGCACAAAAAGGCAGTTCCTTCAGTGGCTGTTATTCTAGAAAAGCCCTTGTAGTGAAGGGGAAGCCAGAGTAGGAAGTTGCGAGCTGATGTTTGTGTGAGGTTTCCAAAAGCCCGTCTCATGTTCTCCTGTGATTTATTTTGATCTCATCTAGCACTATTAACATTTCGAGCCAGATTTTTGCTTGTTATTGTTGTTCTGTGATGAAAGTAGTCTCAGCAAGACTTCAGTGGTGTATGGCAAAGTCTCCGCTAGCTGAGAGCGACTGGCTCAGTTTATTGGACAGGATACCTGTATCACCCAGTGGGGGAAATACGTCGGTGAACATCAAATTAGGGAAGCAAGTATAGATCTAAAGTAATTGTTTAAAAAGTTTTATAAAGCATTTATTGAGAGAATTGAAACATAAGTGTCCTTTTCTGGCACCCTCTCCCCACCCCTTTTTCTAACTAGGGGAGAAGAAAAAGTAAATGCTTATTCTGAATGCCTACTTTTTTTTCCCCAATTGTGAGAACTGTGGTGGCATAAGCTGTAGATCATAAAATTCACCATTTAAACAAAGATATTTGCATCAGTAATTATGCAAATACTCATCTTTTATGAAAATTATATGAATCATAGATCAGGTGGCATCCCAAGGTGGTGTCTTCCCAAGGTTTCAAGCATCTGCTTGTCGGTCTCATTTTGGGTTCTGCCCTCAGGGCTGACATTTCATTTTTGTAGTGAATGTTGCTGTGATGTACTTGCCCTAGAATTCCACCTGACCATTTGTGACAGGCAGGTGCCTTGGTTTATCTCAGTGACTAGCTCCCAGTATTACAATAAAAGCACCAGGGCTCTGTGGATTGAAGTTGCTTCTTATTTTAAAGATGGTTATTGCTGCATTTGAGCTGGAGAAAGCAGAGTGTCTGAGGCTAACAGCAGGCCCACAGTACTTAGAGACAATTAGGGCCAGCCTTGGACTTGAGAGTCGGAACCTTTGATGAGCACATCTGTCTGATGCTGGGTGGAAGCTGGTGGTGTGCAGGAGTACAGATGTCCCTCCTGCAGGGAGCAGATTAAGCAGCGTTTGTTTAACAGGAAAGGCTTCTGTGATTGCCATGAAAGTCCAAGGCACCTTGAGTCGCAGTGAGAAATCGTTAGCGCCAGGCGTGGTCAGCACTAGATGAGCCTGGGCAGTGCACGCTTCTGTTCCGTACCTGTGAAACACAAGGTTCTAT